AATGACCTGGTGACCTGGTGACCTGGTGACCCCTTCAGTTCTTCAAAAATAATTAATTATCGAATAACCCATGATGTTGTCAAAATGTCATGTTGTCACACTTTTTCAGAGAAGTTAAATGACCTGGTGACCTGGTGACCTGGTGACCCCTTCAGTTCTTCAAAAATAATTAATTATCGAATAACCCATGATGTTGTCAAAATGTCATGTTGTCACACTTTTTCAGAGAAGTTAAATGACCTGGTGACCTGGTGACCTGGTGACCCCTTCAGTTCTTCAAAAATAATTCATAACTGCCTTCCTCCTGTGTTGTTGTCAAACATGAACGTAAACATTATTTTTGGTTCATTTACACTCATTACGATGAAGAAGTCATGACAAAACATATACGATGAAATCATGACAAAACATGTACGATGAAATCATGACAAAACATGTACGATGAAATCATGACAAAACATATACGTTTAGTTTCGATGAAATCATCATGACAAAACATATACGATTAAATCATGACAAAACATTTACGATGAAATCATGACAAAACATATACGCTCATGTTTGACAAAACATATACGATGAAGTCTATGAACATAATAATATTTCAAACCAGGAGCCAAATTCTTGCGATTTTCATATGGAATCTCTTCTCTCGGTTTTCCGAGGTAAGCAATTATATGAAATCATTTACACTCATTACGATTAAATCATGACAAAACATTTACGTTCATGTTTGACAAAACATATACGCTCATTACGATGAAGAAGTCTTGACAAAAACATATACGATTAAATCATGACAAAACATATACGAAGAAATCATGACAAAATATATACGAAGAAATCATGACAAAACATTTACGAAGAAATCATGGCAAAACATTTACGAAGAAGTTTATTTCCTGGACTGTTGTCTAAATGTCATGTTGTCAGTAATTTTAAGAGAAGTTAATTAACCTGGTGACATGGTGACGTAGTGACACCTAAAAACCATCTACCCTAAACATTATTTTTGCTGAATTCAACAACAAAATGAACGAGGTCAGGATGTATGCAAATACCTTTGAATTCATTCATAAATGCCTTAGTAAGCTCATAAAATGCTTGTTTTTGCATCACATTTTGACGAAGTGAAGATCTTCACTTCGTCAAAAATGTTTTGCATTCTCTACTGTATCTTCGAGTTCTTCTTCATCTAACTTCTCATGAACTTTCTTATCTATGGAGTCCATAATATCTTTGACATAAAATGCATACTTTACAGAGCACCATTCAGCAACAAAATAAACGAGGTCAGGATGTATGCAAATACCTTTGAATTCATTCATAAATGCCTTAGTAAGCTCATAAAATGTTTGTTTTGAGGTCGAGCCACTTTTGGCTTGACCGTATTCTTTCAACCAAAACTCAAGAATTTTCCTGTGTGAATTTTGTATAAAAAGCAACCGTCTGAATTCAGGCGGTTGTTATATTCTTCACAAAACATATACGATTAAATCATGACAAAACATATACGAAGAAGTCATGACAAAACATATACGAAGAAGTCTTGACAAAACATGTACGTTCATTACGAAGAAGTCATGACAAAACATATACGATTAAATCATGACAAAACATATACGATTAAATCATGACAAAACATTTACGATGAAATCATGACAAAACATTTACGATGAGGTCATGACAAAACATATACGATTAAATCATGACAAAACATATACGATTAAATCATGACAAAACATATACGAAGAAGTCTTGACAAAACATATACGATGAAGAAGTCTTGACAAAACATGTACGATGAAGAAGTCATGAAAATTCATGAGGTGAGAAAAGAGGTGAAAAAAGAGGTGAGATCTCACCACTTCACCTAAAATATATTTTTGGATCATTTACGCTCATTACGATGGAAAAGTCTTGACAAAACATTTACGATGAAATCATGACAAAACATTTACGATGAGGTCATGACAAAACATTTATGTTATACAGTAATGTTAGTCATGAATGTTTGTCCTACGTGTTGGCGTTAGTGTTGAAAAATAATGTTTGTCCTACATGAAGCCGTACAAGCGTTTGAATTTGTTTATGCATAAGATTACTCTCTTGTTTTCTGTATCTATCATACAAACATAAGCAACACCTGTTTTTGTAAAGTTTATATGAAGTTTTCGATAGTTAAGACCTGTATAATAATAGAATGCGTCCTCATTCTCAACATAATAGTAGAACTCAAACGAATGCTTACCATAATCTGTTATTTCAACAGCTTCGTCAGATATTTCATCAACGAACTCATAAACTATATCGCCATACTTGCTTTTATTTCTATTGTTTTCAGATTTAGAACACCAACGAAGGTTTGAGATTCTGTTGTCCGTTCTATCATGATTTATATGGTCTATTTCTTTCAAATTGTTTGGATTTTCAATCCACTGTTCTGCAATAATTCTATGCTTTAAATGCGTTTTGTTGTTTAAACTAAGCTCAATATAACCATGATTATTTAAGCATTCACTCTTAATATGTTTGTTTTTCTTTCGACGAATAGTAAAAGGATATGTCGTACAAATCTCATAATCTTCATGATTTCTCAATGTTTCCCATTGAGTTTGTTCCCCACTAACGTTCTCATTGACGTCCTCAATATCTTCTTCCTCACTGAGCTCGTCAATATTTTCACTAGCTCCTTCTGTAATGTTTTCATCGGCATTGTCATTGACTTCTTCTGTAATGTTAGATGTTGTTGTTTCGCTCATGTTCTTTCACTAATGTTAAAAAGTTATGTTGTACGAATTTTGAACAGAATTTAGAGCAGTTATGAAACAATGAAGTATTTTTACGCTATTGAAAGGAACTATGAGAGTGAAGTACATGACAGCAATGACAAAAGGAACTAATATCAAACCTAATGAAATCACTCACGAGGACATAGAGCTTAACAAGTACTTTGTGGAGTATCTTATAAGTGAAGAGTATGTAAGACCTTACTTCATGTTTGACAGCATGAATGAGGATGTTATTTCATGGTTAAAGAATATAAGCAATGTTTTCGGTAAGTACGTCATAGATGACAAAGGTCTTGTTGTATTTTATGAGACAGCAATACGAACACAGGAACTAATGGATATTATGCACTCAACAGCAAAGAAAGGATTTAGTACTATTGGCATGAATGAACATTGCAGGAATGACATATACAACCTATGCTCACGAAAGCCTTACACAAAAGCAATACAAATGATAGAACATAAGTGTCTAAGGTCAGCAAATGAAATCATTACTGTCAGTGGTTATGAAAGAACTGTTAGCAAAGATGAGTGGAAACAGCTATTCATATTAAGGAAGGACGTTGCTGAACTAGTTAAACCTGTTGCACAAACATTGTTTCAGATAAGACCAGCAATGACTAAGAACCCTTTGACCTTAGTCAATGAGACCATAGAGGTTGAAGATAATGACATGAAAGAACTAGGAATGAATGAGAGAAGTTGTGAAGGATGTTTGAGTCAAAATACATGGTTCTTCAGAGCTGTTAAGAAACTTAGTAAAGAACGACAGAAATATTTTATAGAGAAGTATTGCAAAGGATGTGTAAATGAATTGCTTGAAATAGAACTTAGAGACACTTTCACACTAAAGGACTTGAGGAAAAATAAGTACATGAGTGAAGAAGGTATTGACATAGCTAGTGTTATAAATGACTTAAGAAGATGTGTTGTCGTTATTGACGGAGCACGTATGACATATCTAGTGAAAGATTATGATGGAATACGAGACACAACAACACTTGTGTCAGTAGATAGCAAGGAATTCAATAAGCTCATGAAGAGTATTTATGTAGGACGTATTGAGGAGAAGGATGTGAACGCACTGATGATTTATGAAGCGGGTCAGAACAAGAACTATCTTATGAAGTCAGGCATGAGATTCTTTGACGAAAGAGATGACATTTACAGCTATTTCAGAGGATATGAGTATGAGGTACTGAATGAAGTAGATGAGAACGTTATTGAAGGATATTTGAAACATGTTCACGATGTCATATGTAATGAGGATGAAGAGCTTTATGAGTATGTTTTGAACTGGTTCGCCTACATCGTTCAAAATCCTTGTGGAAAGACTGGAACAGTACTTTTGTTAATAGGAAAGCAAGGAACTGGTAAGAATGTACTTAGTAATGTTCTATGCGAGCTCATTAGCAAGTACGCCAACAATAATATAACGGCAATAGAGAATGTGGTTGGTAGATTCAATGCTGCTATTGAGAACATGAAGCTCATCGTATGCAATGAACTAAGCTCATGCGATACGTCTAAGGTCATGAACCACGACGCACTAAAGTCAATAGTAACAGAGACTCAGTTGGACTTAAATCAGAAGTGTCAGCCAGTAAGAAAGATAGAGAATGTTTGTAATATCATCATGATATCTAACAACTTCAACTCAGTAAAGATTGACAAAGACGACAGAAGATTTGTTGTCATTGACGTAAGCAGCAGATACAAAGGAAATTACGAATATTTCTCAAATCTCATTGAAAGCTTTAATGAAGAGTTTTATTCAAACTTACTGACGTACTTCATGAGGAAAGATTTAAGTGAATTTGATGTAAGGAAGATACCATTCACCAGGGCTAAACAAGAACTCATCGAAATGAACAAAACACCTTACCAAATGTTTTACGAGGAGTTCTATGAAAAGTTTGTATCCGGATGGAATTGTACAGAGTGCTACAGAAGATATAAAGAATTTGCGAAGGAGAATGAATTCTTTGCATGTAGTTCAAATGTATTTGGTGGCAAGATGAGAGAATTTGTGAAGAGAAGTAGAAAGCGAGACGGTTCTGTAAGAAGTTATATTTACGAAGCAAGTATGATATTAGAAGGTCGTGGAAAGAAAGAAACAGTGAATTATGAGGAAGTGCTTGAAAAATTCATGGAGTACATGGGAAGCAATATAACATACAACAAAGACATATACAGTGAGTTTAAGTACTATTGTGAACAGCATGAGATTGAAGTAATGAGTAAAGGAGACTTTGAAACGCTTATGAAAGACAGTAAGGAGGTCATACATGCAATAATGAAATAGTTCATGAGAACAGTGAGGAGGTCATACATGAGAACAGTGAGGAGGTCATACATGAGAACAGTGATGAAATAGTTCATGAGAACAGTGAGGAGGTCATACATGAGAACAGTGATGAAATAGTTCATGAGAACAATGATGAAATAGTTCATGAGAACAGTGAGGAGGTCGTTCATGAGAACAGTGATGAAATAGTTCATGAGAACAGTGAGGAGGTCGTTCATGAGAACAATGATGAAATAGTTCATGAGAACAGTAAGGAAGTCGTTCATGAGAACAATGATGAAATAGTTCATGAGAACAGTGAGGAGGTCATACATGAGAACAGTGTTGAAATAGTTCATGAGAACAGTGAGGAGGTCGTTCATGAGAACAATGATGAAATAGTTCATGAGAACAGTAAGGAAGTCGTTCATGAGAACAATGATGAAATAGTTCATGAGAACAGTGAGGAGGTCATACATGAGAACAGTGTTGAAATAGTTCATGAGAACAGTGAGGAGGTCGTTCATGAGAACAGTGTTGAAATAGTTCATGAGAACAGTGAGGAGGTCATACATGAGAACAGTGTTGAAATAGTTCATGAGAACAGTAAGGAGGTCGTTCATGAGAACAGTGTTGAAATAGTTCATGAGGACAGTGAGGATGTCATACATGAGAACAGTGTTGAAATAGTTCATGAGAACAGTGAGGAGGTCGTTCATGAGAACAATGATGAAATAGTTCATGAGAACAGTAAGGAAGTCGTTCATGAGAACAATGATGAAATAGTTCATGAGAACAGTGAGGAGGTCATACATGAGAACAGTGTTGAAATAGTTCATGAGAACAGTGAGGAGGTCGTTCATGAGAACAGTGTTGAAATAGTTCACGATGTCGTTCGTGAAGAAGCCATTGCAACAAAGAATGAGATAAAGGATTTCATAGAACTTAACAAGGAGGAGTTTAAAGAAGGCTATGAAGTGAAAAGATGTGAAGAAGATTTCTTGGCGTATTTGAAGAAAAAGAGACTAAAGCCAATGGCTCAAAATAAGTTTCAATCGATGTTTGAAAAGAAACGTTTGAGCTATGGTGGTGTAAGAAGCACATATTACTTTGTTAAGAAGTGAGGACATTTATTTTTGTCGTTAGTGTTGGAGTTTGTGTTTGTTGTTAGTGTTTGTCATTTGTGCTGAGGTTAGTACTTGATGTTAGTGTTGGAGTTTGTGTTTGTTGTTAGCGTTTGTCATTTGTGCTGAGGTTAGTACTTGTCGTTAGTGTTGGAGTTTGTGTTTGTTGTTAGTGTTTGTCATTTGTGCTGAGGTTAGTACTTGATGTTAGTGTTGGAGTTTGTGTTTGTTGTTAGTGAGAGAATAAATTAAATCATGAACTTTGCCATGGTCTCTGTCCCTAGTAGTTTTCATTAAGTTCCGGAAATAATGAAAATCATAAACTTTGCCATGGTCTCTGTCCCTAGTAGTTTTCATTATCTCACAGAGTTAATGAAAGTCATACTTTCTATCAGATGAAGCATGCAGATGAACATAATGAAAGTTAGTGAGTTTGCCACGAGTTATGAATAAAATATTGGCATATTAGATGAGATAGCTGATGAAACAGATGAAGATAAATTAAATCTTGGACTTTGCCACACTCTGTCCCTAGTTCCTCAAAATCCTTGACAACGTTGCTTAGAAATTTTGGTTCAAAACCTCATCTGATTTTAATCTGTTATGCTACCTGTTAAGTTTCGCGAGATTATAAATGTCATGGAGTTATATAAAAAGGAGGGACAGCTAGGGACACTGGAAGTACTTGTAAGGCTATCTGTTAAGATTGCATGAAATACTAAAAGTCATGAAATCCATTATCGCTGTGCTAGCTTCACCTTAGAGTAAAATGACGACTAAAGTCACTGAAGCAATGAAACAAAAGTTTTTGGTAGAATACATTAAATCAAGAACTATTCCAGAAGGTTTTTACATTCATACTATGAAGGATGGTAGAGTTCAGTTTAGAAAGATAAAGCAACCATTAGATAAAGAAGGAATTTTGAGAAAGATTAAACTTCATGAGGACAACATTGCTGAACTTAAGAAGAAGTTAGAAGAGTTGGAGAAACCAAGGAAGAGAGTTATAAAGCAATGAATTCAACAGGGTAGAAATGAGGTGAAAAAAGAGGTTAGATCTCACCACTTCACCTAAATTTATTTTTGTGCTATGTTTTCATACGTGTGAGGGTGGTGAGATCATTTATTTTTTATTTTATTTTTTAAAATTATTTTTATTTTATTTGGATGTAATGACAGAACAAAAGCAACTCATACAAATCAAAACATATAACAAACATACATTTAAACATTTATTCTTCCTTCCTGAGCATAACATGTTCTTTCAAATACATCCGAGACCAGTTGACTTTTCATTGACTGTTTATAAAGATAGAAATAGTTATATCATTAAACCATACGATGACGAAGGTAAGTTATGTAAATTGTACGTTAAGAAGTTAGAGAAAGTTTATGGCTTCAAGTATGACTACAATAGGGTTAACACTGATGATGAAGATATTGAGGAAAATTTATGAGAACATTAGTGAAGTTGTTAGTGAGAACGATAGTGAGGTGAAATTGTTGGCGGCTTTGTAAATATTTAAGGTTAAGTTAGTTTTTGCGTTCATGTTGTAAAATATACGTTAACGGTTTTGTAAAGTGTCAAATTCACAAGTATTGGGTAAGGTGGAACGCAGTGCCACCATACCCAAGACTTGTATACTAACTATAACAGGTCTAATTGCACCACCTGGGTCGGGTAAGACTTTCACTTATCTTAAAATGGCTGCACAACAACAAGAACTAGATGAGAAGAACCCATTCTATGAGTTAGTTGTTATTTGTTCGACTTCTGGTCAATTTGACCAAACCGTCAATTCGTTCAAAGATATTATAAAGAAGTCTAAGTTAGTATGTATAAAGGATACTGAGTTGTTAGATTGGATAAAGAAGTACCAAAGAAGAGTTTTGAAGTATAATGCTATAAATGAGTATATAAATTCTAAGTTAAAAGACCCTAATGAGGAAATGCAGAGAATATTAGAGAAGAAACACTTCAGAAACAAACAGAAAGAGATAGAATACATTTCGAAGAAATTGCAATCTTACGATTGGAAGACTTACCCTCATAGATGTCTTCTTATCTTAGATGATTTCGCCTCTCATCCTTTGTTAAAGAACAGAGAACAAGATATGTGTCGAATTCTTAAGAAGCTCAGACACTTTAACATCTCAGTTGTCATTTGTGTACAGACAGCAAAGAGTTTAAGTAAGGATGTTAAAAGAATACTTACTGACATAATACTTTTCCCCGGATTGTCCGAAGACGATTTCATGGAACTTATGAAAGAGTCCATGGCAGGTAAGTTTGACAGACATGAACTATGGGAGAAGTACAAAGTCATACAAGACCCTCATACTTCTTTCAGAATTCATATCTACGCAAACAAAGTTCAAATTGTAAAAAGTCAAGCTTGAAAAATCTAAGTGTTTAGTCTTAGTAAGATGGTAGCTTCTTAAAGCAAATACCATTGCTGAGTTTTATGTACGTGAAGAGAAGTACAATGAATTCAATTACGAGTACAATTGCAATGACAACTAAGGCAACTATTTTTGTCTTTTGCCAGCAAGGGTACTTCTTCTCTTCCAATGGTTCGGCAGAACTATACTCACTCATGAGAAATGCCAAAACGGTTTAATAGAAAAAGTGTCATTTTTTTCATGTCCGAAGACTCGAAGGTGCAACACTTCCAAAATACCGACGAACTCAGAAGAGCAGCATGGCAGTATCTTCTTGACAACTTCTTTGAGTTCTCCAGGTACACCTTGGAAAATGCTGAAGAACTCCGACACAGAGAATTTGGAGAAATTGCACTCCAATACTACCTTGACAAACAAAGGGTAAATTAAGACTAAAAACTTAACGTTTAAAAAGTGACATTTTTATGAGCTCCGAGTCACCGAGAAAACTTGGTCAGATGTTAGCAGCTTACTTCCCTGAGGAGGATGGAAGCGTTACATACATCAGGTTCAAAAACAACGAACCTGGAATTGCGTACCAAATTCGCAATTACATGACCATGGAAGAGTACGAAAGGTTTCTACAAGAGAAACCAGCTCTAAACAACTCAGAAAAGAAAGAGTAAAAAGTTTAATTCGTAATTGTTTATTTTTTTACTTGTAAGGGCAAGCTGCAAGTATGAAGTCGACTATCTCCGTCTTTGTTTTGACGAGCTGGACGGCTCTTGCGAATACGTCTGTTTTGCGGTCTCCAGCTGGTGTCTGACCTTCGTAATTGCGCATGTTCTTGAGAGCTCCAACTGTAAATGGTTGTAGGATGAAGAGTCTCTCAGACTGCTTGAGGTAGTCTTCACGGTCACGAACCGAATCTGTGGTACGAGTCGAATCGGTCGATTTGAGGGAAGAGAGTGAGAGCCTGTCTTCTTCCATTGGGGCAGTAGCATACTCTTTGCGTAAGCGGTTCAGACCTTCCTCGAACTCTTGGTCTCTCTTGGATTGAGATTGGAATTGTGGGGCAGGGTTTTGCATAAACAGCCAAGGGTTGGGGCAGTAAGGCATAGGCTGAGGAGGGTAGTTCGGGAAGCCTTGTGGTGGGTAGTAACCTTGAGGTGGAAATTGGTAGTAATTCGGAGGTCCTTGTTGGAACTGAGGTGCAGGGGCTGGTGCTTTAGGTTCCTCTGGTTTGGGAATGGACTCGGTTGGTGGTACGTCGGACATTGTCTTGAAACAGTACAAATATTGTTCTGAAGCAGTGCAAGTCTTGTTCTGAAAAAGTACAAGTATTGTTCTGAAGCAGTGCAAGTATTGTTCTGAAAAAGTACAAGTATTGTTCTGAAAAAGTACAAGTATTGTTCTGAAACAGAAAATTTTTCTCACAAATTGAGAGCTTTTACGGGAAATTTGTTCTGAAAAAGTTCAAGTCTTGTTCTGAAAAAGTACAAGTATTGTTCTGAAACAGTACAAGTATTGTTCTGAAAAAGTACAAGACTAGTTCTGAAACAGAACAATGGACAACATCGAGCCATTAGATGAGGCAATTTACCTTATAGAGATAAATGAAGTTGTTAAGCAGTACTTGGGCAAGGACAAAGCCAACATGTCCCTCGGCTTCTGGTTGTCTGGAAGAGGTGCGCTGAAAATCGAAATTGAAACCGGAATTGTCCTACAAATACCAGAAAACACTCCTGTAGACGACATAAAGGAGATGAAGAAAGAAGCTCTTCTCAAGTTCTTTGCAAAGCGCCCATGGATACAACTTCCAAACAGAGAGAGTCCAATTCCACGAATTATACAAATTCTCAGAGCACTGTTCCACTTCTCAGGACGGCCGTTCTTCATAACCTCAGAAGGCGACATCCAACCAATTCAGTAAACCTTAACGTTTAACTTCACTTTTTTTATGTTTTTACTCACACTCGTACTCACCTGGTATGAGTACAATTGTTTCAACTGTGAACCTTATGTAGAAGGAATGATTGCGACTATCGCTTCGGTCGATGGATAATACGTGCTGGTTTTACAGACACTGGAAACTGTACTTCTGACAGATGTTGTTGCGACTGTCAGATAACTGAAATTACAGACCCACCTCCCCCAAGAACTCCAACACCAACACTCAAGTTACCAGAGTCTCATGTGAAGAAGAAGCCTTCTGGTAAGTTTCTTATAGCCATCTATATGGCACGTTTAGAGTAAAAACATTTTTTTCATTTTTTGAATGAAGCAAGTTAAATTCGTCCCACACCAAACTCAATGGACTGATGAAGAGTTTCAAGCTATGGTTGAAGGTGTTGAGAACGACATAGACGGCGAACTTGAAGGAGCTCAAACCACAATTGCAACCAAAATTGCACAAGTCAAAGAAGAGATAGCTCCACTTAAAGCTACCAAAGCTACTCTTGACCTCATGGATACTTACCGTTTAGATGTCAAGAGAGGAATAAGACAATTAAAATTAAAACTCTTAAATTACGAAGCTATACTCCAGAAGTTAGCAGAAATGAGAAGACTTTACCAGAGCTACTTACATGTAAGGGACTTACCTTCAAGCAGTCCGACCAAAGATGAATTTTCTGACATTGTCCCAATTTTGTCCGAAAGTCAGCTCAGATGTTTTGAACTGCTCCCAACATATCCAGAATATGAACGTTTGCCTGAACTCTTCCGCAATCTCAAAAAACGTTTTTTGGTTCTCATGTTCGAAACTTTTATCGGAAGAGACAACAAACGTTCAGAAGAAGAACAAGATATTATTTTAAACTTGTTGTATGACTTAACTGTCATAACCAACTTTTTGAAGTAAAACCGTCATTCTCAAACCACTTCATTTTTTCGATGTCCGAACAAGCACCGAAGCCGAACACAATGGCAGATGTCCTTTCAAGGTTGCCAGACAAGCACTCAATTCAAATTCAAATTGCCCAATTGAAAGCTCATCTGACAAACACCATTAAGACTCTCCAAAGTAGTCTTATGACAGAGATGACCAATCTCAAAGCCGATGTCCTCATGAACCAAGCTTCCAATGAGAAATGCCTGAACGATTTCTCAGAATCGTTGCGCAATTACGAGAGAGAGAACCGAGACCTTGCCAGACTCATCTACCGTTTCTTCGAAGAGATAGACGCCATCTGGAAGGTACTCGGAAAGGACAGAACATGCAACACCGTACTTCGTGAGTACCAAATTGAAGAAGGAATTGTCGAGGAAGAAGAGAAACACGAAGAAGTTCCTGAAGCCGCTACATGGGCAACCCTTGTTGCCGATGATGGTTACGAAATTTCCCAACCCTACCCATACCAAATCCGCAACAAGGAGACAGGCAAGGTTCTTACCCCAGTCCTCAACAACTTGGGACACTTGAACCTTAACCTTCGGAATCGCGGTTCAATCTCCATGGGCAAGCTTGTCGCAATTCAATGGGTTCCAAATCCAGACAAGAAGACGAAGGTCAGACACATTGACGGTGACAAGCTCAACAACCGTAAGGAGAACCTCGAGTGGTTCTAAGAGTAAAAAAAATTATTTTAGGGGGAAACCCCAAGTAAATTTAAGTTTTTATTTTTGGTATTCGTACCAATCTTGGAATGTGAAGACCACATCCCAACCTCTGTACGTGAGTCTTGGGTCCACGTCTAAGACCCTTCTGTAGCAATTCCAAGCCCGAGCAAATTCAATTGTCAACCACTCGTCTCCTCTGTAGTCTTCAATCCATTCTTTGAAGAGACGGTCGAGTTCGGGCTTGGAATATCTCTTGCCTGGGTCCGAGACCAACATTTGGTTGAACTGGACGAAGCGCTCAGGGATGTACGCCATTAAAAAAATGTCACTTTTTTTAAAATAAATTTTTTATTTCATGCAATGTTTAACTATTTCACCATCTTCTTTAACACCCCAGTACTTACGCTTGGAGAGGACATGAACTTCGGTGAAAATTTTGTCCAATTTGAATTGACCCATCTTTTCACCGACCATTCCCATTTCAATGAGTTTGTTGTATCCTTCTTCGTTCGTCATGAGTGCGTCAATGTTCTCATAGTAAACCTTGACTTTCGATTTGACTTCGGAGAAGAATTTGTAGTTGTCAAGGACTGCTTTTGCGAACTGAGGGTAAGACCAATGCTCGACAATAGGTTTTAATGTGGTTACTAAGCCACTTTGACCTTGAGTGAATTCGTACTTCAAAACAAAAGGAGAAAACTTTCAACAAAGTTGTCGACCTTCTCATAATGTTTACTCTTCATCTCTTGAGGTTTCTTAATGGAATATCCCCATGTCGAATTCATAAGCAATTTGAGTGTCATTGCAAGTTTGGGGTTTGAAGCTTTCCTAATATCATACAGTTGTTGTATGACTTTTCCAACTGTATAGTTCCTTCCCGGGAACTCACCATCTTCGTTTGGAATTCCAGTCGGAATATATTGGACAAACCTCATGTATGCAGCGTTAAGGTCGACATAGTATATCTTTTCATCTGAGTCGAACTTGTCGCAACCAATTGGTCCAGTTTGTGGAAATTCAAGTGAGTCTCTTATCTTCTGAGAAACTTCTCCTGTTATCTCATAAACATCGTCGAAGCAACCTGTTTCATATAAAACCTTCTGACCTAACTCAGATGCTCTCCAATACAATTTGACGTCAATTGGATGTCTCAATGGAAGTTTGTTTATAGCATCTTGAAGTTCTTGCAACCTCATTGGAAGTTCTTCTGGTTCAGGTTGGTATCCGAACATACCAACTCCTTGTGGAACTGTGTACTTCTTTTGTACTAGAACTTTGTCTGGAACAACTTTTGGTCTTGCTAACAATGAAAAGTTTGTTTCGTCTTTTGGTACAAAAGTTTCTGTCAGCTTGTCATCTGGAATTGGTTCCAACAAACCTTTCTCGAAAAGAATGTTTACAGCTCTGACAATGTTGCACTTACTTTTACCAAAGAATGGGTTTGTAAGACTTTCGTTCAACATGAAGTGGTTGTGGACAATTACAATCTTCAACCATGGTAAGTCTTTGTCAACAACATAGTCGTCATGTGAAGAACCTTTAGCTGTAGGTATGTTGACTCGGATATTGACATTTGCCAACGGTGCAATTTTTGCCAATTGACCTCTGAGAATGTACCTTGTCTTCACACATGACTCAAGATACTTCATCTTCTCATCTGTAACAAGACCAGAGTTCCTGAGACATGTAAGAATACAAGGTTCATTGACAATTGTTTCAATTGAATTGTAAATTCCATACCTTGTCAAGTCAATGTCAGACTTATTTATGAAGGGGAAGTATCCAGCATGTTGTCTGACTGCTTGAGGGTTAGGTTGGTACCATTCGAACTTGACACTTGCAATTCCTTCAATTGCATTCAAAATGTCTGAGTCGGAGTCAACCATTTGTTCTCTCTTTGTAGTCTTGAAAGCGTCAAGAAGTTTTGCGGCTGTTTGTTCATTGCCATGTGCATAGTAAATGTGACCATCCAAATCTGTTATGGTCAATCTGAGATTGTGTCCTTTCTTATTTCCGTCTTGAATTGCAGCAAGTACTCCCATGAAGCCTTCTTTGTTCTTTCCTTCATCAAAGTTTACTGTAAAGGTTCGACCAGATGTAATTTGACTTCTAACTTCACGATACTTTTCATATGCATATCTTGTTCTTTCCATGGGAGCATGTGCGTCTTCACCTTTTCCTTTTTTCCTTCTCAAAGGATGCAATTGTTCGTCATGTTTCCAGTAGAATCTGGTAAAGCCGTCGTGTCCTTCAACTTGAGGTTCACTAACATCGAAAGGCATGTCCATAAGACGTTCTTCTTCTAACCTCTCTAGTCTGTTTGGATAATTGGCACGTGCTGTTTCCAAATCCATTTCGTAGCGAAGACCAGACAATTTGTCATAGACTTTTATGGGTCTTCCCTTCCTATATTTAAAATTGTTCGAAACTCTCCAACCATATCTTTGCAACTCTGCTTTTATTCTACCAGACTTTCTATCCATTCTATATGGGGGCATTTTTATAAAAATAAAAAAATATTTTTTTCTTTACTTTTAAAAATAAAAAAATATTTTTTCTTTACTTTACATAACCGCCTGCTGCCATAAGTCTTTGACGCCAACCCATACCAGCTAATGAAGGTTGACTTGGTTTAGTTTGGAAACTAAACTTTGGTTTTGGTTTATCTTCAGTTTTTGTTTTTTCTTCTTCTATCAGTTTTTCGTCACTTTTCGGTTCCTCTGACTTTACTTCACTTGCAGGAACAGTTGTGTCGTCAACATCTTCATAAATATCATATGCCATTTGTTTTTGTTTTCCTTTCAACTTTTTGTGTTTGTTGTAAAGTTTAGAATATTTCGACTCTAAGTCAATGAGATGTTCTATAATGAACTGTTGGTCAGTGAAGTAAACTTTTCCATCTGTTGTCTCGAAAGCTCCTTCAGACTTCAATATTTTATTTGTGAGAGTCTGTTTCTTTTTTGAGATATAGGGTGTCCAAAGGTGTGTTTAGCACAAACCTGAATACTGCGAATAGAAATAAACAAGTTACATATATATAAAGTTTATTTAAATATAATCACCATTGGATTCAATCACGCGTTCGCAGCGATCGATCCAGGCTTGAAAGACACGCTTTAAATCATCATGAGAAAATTGCTCAAATTGCTCTCTTACAAAATTTTCAAGATCATCTGGACTCGCGAATTCGCGTCCTTCAGCTCTCTTTTTTAGCGTGCCGAATAAATAAAAGTCAGAGGGTGCAATATCAGGTGAATAAATTGGGTTTGGAACAACTTTGACATTGTTTTCCACCAAGTAATTCATTACCTTATGACTTTTGTGAACTCTTGAATTATCAAAATGAATTGCAAACTTTTGTTTTTGTTGTTTGGATTTCTCAAACTCATCAGAATTGATAATTTGAGTAAGAACATTGTCAATTAGATACTGAGCATTCATCGTATTAGGTTTTTGAAGAATATCAATTGCGATGATGCCATTCACGCCCCAAAAAACCGACAACATCATCATTGGTGTGTCAATTTTTTCTTCGGGAATGTTTGCGGATTTTCATCCTTCGGGATCCACATGATTTTGGCTTCTGTTGCATATTGAAACCAAGACTCGTCCCCTGTTACTAAAAAGCGAAACTTCTTGGATTGATACGCACCCAATATAGAGAGGAGCTCTTTCGAAGATTAGACTCTAGATTTTTTTTGAACTGAATTAAGGTTGTGCGGAACCCAACGTGTATACGCTAGTTTGTAGTTCAAATAATTGTGCAGATAATAACTGACTGTTGTACGTGGTATCTTTGTCATCTCCTCTATCCTTCTGAGTGATGCTCTTGGGTCTTCATCTAGCGCTTGAAGAATTGCTTTGATTTTTCTTTGATCCGGCGATTTTTTGTCAATTTTTATGATGGGCGCCTTTTTGTTCATGAAGTGATATATCCTAACATGATACGTTACAGTGGAATAGCTAGGAGCATCCATACCGAAGCATTTTACCAATGTCTCGTAGATTTTTTTACAGTCTTTGCATTTTTTTGCAAGAGCGAGGATGTTTTCTTTATGATTCATTAAAAAAATGAAAAAAATCCCGCCAAAATTTCCCGCGAAACCGCCTCTTGTCTCAAAATTCATTTTATATCCCGGCATGGCGCCAAAATACAACATATTCATCATATACATATATTCATATTTTTTATTATATATTTATAATCAGCATATATCTCCTTTAATAGTCTCATATAGAGCGCTGTGCTAAACGCACCTTTGGACACCCTATACTAGCCGTTCCATTTCTATGAAAAGTGACTTTATAGTTAGGGTTTGTATTTCCAGACCTGGCACTTTCTATTATTGAATTTTTCTCTTCATCTGTAAGTTCTTTGACAGGTTTTGACAATGGTTCTGAACTTTTTGTTTGTGGTGTCAAATCTACCGTTTCAACTTCTTCGGTCATTTCATCTCAGTAAAAAATTTTAGTTTGGTTTGTTTTCAACTGGTTGTTTAGGTTTTTTAAGTCGGTCTAAAACTTCCTGAGGTATAGGAAGAACTTTACAAACACGTGGTGTAAAAGGTGGTCTTCCATGACTTATTCTGTTTAAAGCTGCATTGTTCATTTCATCTCAGTAAAAAATTTTAGTTTGGTTTGTTTTCAACTGGTTGTTGTTGTGGAGGTGGGATGGTTCCTTTAATAATATCATTCAGTTTCACATGCTGAGCCTGACTATATGGTATCGGTTTAAATGCTGGAAGCCGACAAATCCATCTTGAACTCATTTGTCTCAATGCTGCATTGTTCATTTCATCTCAATAAAAAACTTTACATTCCCCACGTTTGAGGCGGTTGGGGTTGGTTATTGTTTACCCACTGTTGTGCATGGTTATATCCTCTGTTAAAGAATCTTTCACTTTGGTCCATATAGTGTCCTGCTTGGTTATAGTAGTCATTTGCTTTGTTATAATAGTTTCCTGCTTGTCTTCCTACATTGTCCATCCATCCTTGAACTTTTCCTCTTGTTTCAGGATTTGGAATAAGATTTGTTGCATCTCGTGCTACATCCCAACCTTTCTGTACAGTTTGTATAATAGGTTGTGCTTTCTCTTTCAGTATACCTAATGTACTCAAAATCTTCCTTCCAATTCCAAATACACCTCTGGCTATTGTTCCCACTGCGGGTAAAAATCTAGATGCGACTCCTGCTAATGCGCCAAATAAACCCATTTCTTATAGGGTAAAAAATGACGAATCCGAACAAGGACCCCTATGTTTCTAATGCGACAAAGAAAGCACTCATGATAAAAATCTTTAGTTCAACACCAAATGCTTGGTTTATGGATATCTTGGAAAACATTCCGAGAGTTAGAACAGATGGACCACCATACTGGTTAATATTTGTTGGTCAAAACACAAGATACTGTGAAGCCATACCATTATGGTCCAAAAATATTTTAGATGTGAAAACTGCTTTGACAATATTCGTTGACAAATACCATCCAACAAAACTGACATCTGACTGTGAAAGTTCTTTCAAATCAGATGATGTAAAAAACTATCTGCGTTCAAAAAATGTAAACCAATATTTCATTGTCGACCAAAACCATTCTGCTCTTGGTGTCATTGACGGATGTATAAAAATGTTAAGAGACTTAAACCAACCACAAGGTGGTGAAGCAAATGAAATGTCATATGACGACAAATATAGACACTTCTCCATGGCAAAGATGAGACAAGTTTTAAATATTTACAATAACCGTAAACAAAAAGGTTTGGGAAACCACTCCCCCGAAGAAATGAAAAACAACCCTGACTTAGAGAAAGACTATATATTTAATAATTTAGTCAAAAGGGACAAACAAGAAAGAATGCCGGGCTTCAAACTTCAGAAAGGTGACAAAGTAAAAATAGAAATACCTAAACGCGACCCATATGAAAATACTATTGACTATGACAACAATGGGAACTCGACAGGTACTCACATTCGTGTTCGTAAAAATAGAAGAAAGTATACAAGAGAATATTATGAAGTTTTAGGCAAACATGGCAAAATGTACACACTGCAAGCAGAAGATAAAACTACTATTGTCAGACCTCGTTTCAAACTTGTCAAAGTTCAAGGTGGTATACTTTCAAAGACAGTTCCTAACAAATATAAGACAACTCCTGACGAATATGCTAAAGAAGTTGAAAATGACGACTAAGCAATTCTATACCATGCGTAAACTGTCATGTAAGGTGGCATGTATTCTTTACTTTGTCCCGTTGTTTGCGTATATCCTGAAACGAAATGTGTATGGTTTCCTTCTCCCTGCGTGTCATCCCAGTAACAATTTATAGCAAACTTAACGTCGTCTTTAACATCATATCCTTTACCTTTTGGAGATATAAAAATTGCTCACATTTGCTCACATTTTGGCACTTTTTTTGTACGTTTGTCAAAAAATTATGAGGAAGATCTCACAAAAATAGTCAAAATGTGAGCAAATTTTGAGAAGTGCTCACATTTTGACATACGATTATTTTCATACGTTTTTTTGATGAATTCTAATAAAACTTCATTACCACTTTCAGAACGAAGCGTAACTTTTCAGCACGTAACGCTCTATCATGTGTAGTGACATATTATTCAAAAAAACTCAGATTGCTTATCTTATAATAACAATTTCATTAGAAAAAATGCACGATTTCACGCTAAAACTTTGAAGCAATTCTTAAATTCGGATAAAAAATCGATATGTATTACACTTTAAACTTCAAAAAATGGTTCAAAATTTAGACTTAGTTTATCTTAACAATATAGCAGATTTTAAGCCGAACAAGTAGGAGTAATAGAAATAGCTCTTGAAAATAATTACAATTAGTAATATGTAAGTCAAAGTTCGAGTATTCTAATAAATAAACGTTCCGGATTTTCTTTACTACAAGAATCAATACTTAATATATAGAAGCAACAGTAAAAACTTATTAGAGATTCAAAAAGAAAGTTGACTAAAGAGAATCTTTTTATATAAGTAATTTTATTTTTTTGAAATACGAGATCGAATAAACATGTATTTTATTTTATTACTATAATAATACGTTTTTACATAGTAAGAAAGTTTAGAGACTGAAATGAAATTAAAAATTGAGAAAAAAATAAAGCTTTTCTATAAAAATTCATATTAATATATAGTATAATGATATTACAATTTATTGATCAAATAAAAAGAATATTTGTTGAATAATTTCTGTTCAAATTAAAAGTTCTTCAACTTACGGTAAATCTATCTGCCTTAAAAAGTATTACGATATTATGCAAAGTCAATTTTCTCCAAAAAAATATTTGAAGATGATACTTTAAGTATACCAAAAATACAAGAATTTTGAGAGAACTCAATGAATTTTTGTGAAGGTGGAGTTAAATTGAGAAGATTTTTGGTCAGAGAAAAACAAAAATTACTATCTGATAAAATGGTATTAAAATGAAAAAAGTTTAAACAAAGGAAATGAAGAATTTATATTATATTAG